CGAATCGATATTATGTTAAGTTGTTAGGTTCCGATACGCATAATGAATGGTAACTTTGAGATCCATTTATGGACCAATACTAAACGTATATTTTTATCGTATAATTGTTAAATAACCAAACTATTCATAATCATTTTTCTCTTATTATAAGCTTCATTTTTACCTACGATCCAGTATTATACGTTGTACCATTCTTGAATTATGCCCTGTCTATCAATTACTACCTCCCACATTCACAGCCACTTTTGGCTAATTCTTGTACAAGTTTTATTTCATATTTTATGCTACCTTGTGGTGTTTGATTGGTATATAAACGCAGTATGTTTGAAATACAATGATTCATATTGTAAAGGCTCGGATTGGTGTTCTGGACTTAACTAGCTGGGCTACACAGGAAGCGGGACCAATAAGGACTCTAAATTGCTCATACGGGTTTACTCGTCACTAATCCGATTGATAAGTCACTGCACATTAATTGGTGGTCAAGTATAACATAAGTATTTTCAGACTTAGAAATAAAGATGAATTCAAGCGCATAAATAGAATAATCACCATAACATAGTTTCATATATTATATCCTACTTATTATTCCTAATCAGTAGTTTAAAGCATAAGTAATCAAATAAAAATATTTATTATTGTCTAATAATGATTGTAAATGTCAACCCTTTAAAAACAATCCAAATTCCATATTTTCCATACTTTTTCATCATTATCTTAATAGAAATCCATTTAGTTGGTCCACCAAAGTGCTTTGAACCTGTTTGGTTGCGTCACAGGATTGAACTGTACTATTCAGATTGTAACGATAAAGCCTATATAGTGTCTGGTTCTCCTGTTCAGTGGGATTGAGCTGTACTACTCGGGTTATAAATTTTAAGCCTAGGCAATGTCTAGCTCTCTGGTTAAACGGGATTGAGCTGTACTGTTTGGGTTGTCACGTGAAAGGCTCGGATAGTGTCTGGTTCTCCTGAAAATCAATGTCAAATTACCTTGGCCCACAAGGGTATATTATATCAGATAAAATATGTAACTATGTAACTATGTGTGATACATCCCGTTTACAGTTTCTTTAAGCATCTCTCTTTTTTTTCTTTAATAGAATGTTTCATTATAATAAAAGATAAATGAAACAGATTGTCCACACAAAAAAAATCTATTTATTTCCACGTTTTTTATCGATTATTTTTTCAAGGTTAACTCTATCTAATCTAAGCCAATAAGAATAAAGGAATTTAATTTAATCTCGAATTGATATTTTGATTGGTTGATTAGAATTTGATAAAGTTATAAATAGAAAAAACAAAAATAAAAAAATAAAAATATGAAGTAGGCAATGATGGATAGTGGTTTGAAGTGGAATCCAGGACGCGCGTTTCGTCCTATTTAGGACTCGTTAGTGCAATTGATCAGTCTGTTATTGGCATATGTGCATAGGACGAAACACACATCAAATTGGATTCCACTGTTAGCCACTATCCATCATTGCTTACAAAGCTTGTGAATTAAGGCACTATCGAAGCAATATGCACAGTATGTACATATGCCAATAACAAACTGATCAATCGCAGTGTTAAACCTCAATGGGAAGATACAAGCCAAACAATACTAATATGAAGTAGATTTATGGATTGAAATATTCTTTAAAGAGTTTCTACTATAACTATATTGCTATAAATAAAAGAAATATATAATGTGATCATTTCAGCATGATCTTCAAATATTCACTATAGTTGAATGAATAACTTTTCAATGATGTACAGTAAAGTATACTGAGACATTAAGTTCTTTGAACTAATGATCACATAATAACATAGTTGATAAAATTCTTCTGAAACTGATTAGTCCTGAGTTCGAGTCCTGCGGGGCGAGATCATGGATGTATACTATTGAGGAGTTCTTTAATAGAATGAAACGGCCCTCTAATGCTTTATTATCTAATCAGAATATTGTTATGTTTGATAGAATTTCTTCTCATTCAACACTGTGAACTTATTATCGTTATAAATGACATTACTACTAAGATATACAATCTGCAAATAGAATAAAATAAGATAGATGTAAAGATTATTGTATTTCATACGACACATGTTTTACACACATCAACTCAATCACAATTAGTATATATTCAAGCATCTTTTGTTAAATTTAACTTCGTCTTTCTAATATTTTAAATTGTCGCATTTCATGACTGATATTTGGTGATTAGTAGTAATGGTAGTATTAGGAGGAGGAGGAGCTGATATCTCATAACAGACCTGATTGAACTCCACTGGTAACAGCTTCTCACTAGAACTCCAGGAGTATCTCTTGAAGACACTCACTGGTGAGCATATAACTACTATCAGAAGAGGTTTGTGGAGATATTAGAAATATCACAGTTTGAAATCATGAGTCAATTGAAGTTAGACCATCATAGAGAACCTGGAAGCACTGAATGACCGTTTCGTCCTAGTACTGGGACTCCTCAGCAGTGCACGTCCACGATCCCGCACTTCGCGAGATTCGAACCCAGGACCAATCAGTCTTTTATAACTGTCATTTACTTCTAATCATTAAGTATCCACTCTCAAAGTCACTTCCACTTAACTAAGATGTCCATAAATTCTAATCTCATCCAATATTTTTTATTTCGAATGTTAAATGAATTTCTTGGCTAAAACCAACATTTTATTATACCTAAATAGTTGTGAATCTATAAAAAAGAAAAGGAATAAACTTTAAGGAATACTTTTGCCTAGTTTGTTCTTCTACTATGTAAATATATACAATACACCATTATGAAATCTATACTAATCACTATGGTCTAAATTTAGCTTTCTTTAATCGACCAAAATAATCTATCTATCTATCCCCTAAAGATTTCAGTTCTAAATTTTGGACAATTTCATCGGATGACCTTGAGCATGAATTACTGATTGGTTAAATTTCTATGAAATTGGGCAAGAAAGGTAACATAAAGTTAAGACGAAAGTATTTTCCCATTAGATATTAGTCTTAATAAAATCGTATTTAAAAATTAAAAAAAAAAAAGAAGAGGAATTCAGACTCTTATGATTATGATGTTTTCTTTTTCTTCTTTGGAAATTCTTTTAGAATCATGTATTGATCATGAGATTACAATGTTCAATGGGTTTTACCTGTTTTTATAGTGGATACTACTCATAAGATTGCTTATAAGTAGTATGTATATTATGGAATGTGGACTTGACGTTAGTGAATAGGGTGGATTTTCAATCATTACAATGAAAGATTATTTATATGTATGTATTGTTGACAGTGTTTTTTTATTTATTATAAGTTAATTAACAAAGAACTCCTCCTGGAGTCCCTCCGAGAGCTACTGTCGGTCCAAGCCCGGATAAAGGAGGAGGGTTGAGCATGGGGTTAGCGACCTCATCCCTTAGAAAACTAACTCGTTAAAAAAACGCTAACTAGAAAAAATTATTCAAACCTTTATAGAATTAACAAAGGAATCTGAAGTGACTTTGGGGAACATCATTGTGAATTAGTGATGTTTCAAAATATTTAGAATTGTAATGTGTCATGTGAAAGATAACAAATGTTTTTGTTTTGGTTCAAATAATGATCATTTATCTCATATACACTAATTCCGCCTTAAGGAATTATTTTAGTAGTTGAATTCATGAGTCAATTGAAGCTAGACCTGGAAGTACTAGATGGCCATTTCGTCCTATTGTGAGAATGCCCAGCATACGCATCCATGAAATCGCCTCGAGAGATTTGAACACAGAACTTATCGGTCTCGTGCGCGAGCTTTTAACCTCCAGAACATTGAGTCAACATCCAACAGTGTTAATGTTCAACTTTTACCAATGAATGAATGAATTACTATAATATCCACAAATCACTTTACCTGATTAAGGAATTATGTTTGTCAAAACCTCTGTGAATGGCAACTATAATTAAGAATCATTGAGGTACAGCTATTCGTCAGAGAATGGACATTGTAATGTATTATGATTTATGACAGATGTTTCCAACACACTACAATTAAACAACAACAAAATTTCTTTTCACAAATAACAACTGCGTCCTCACAATTGATTGATCACTGGGTGGTGACCAATGTCATGTGTGTCAAGTCCTTATTTAGTGCAGATCGAATGCTATCGACCATGATGCAATGTGGTCACCAGTCTAAGTGACTCGACACTGAGTGCACTATATATTGAGATTAGATGGTGGTTGGAGGTAGTCGACAGGAAACACTGGACCAGGGTTTCGTGCTACTTGGCACTCGTCAGTAAGGTGTACCTTAATCTTGAGAAAACTGGTGCCCCTGATGGATTTGATCTCGTGTCACCCAGCTTCACAGTGAAAGACGTTAAAAATATTTGTGCAGTATTTCTCAATTTGTATAAAAAATCTGATCATTTAGTTGCATAATTAAGTGTCTTTAAGATAAAGAAGAGTGAAAAATAGAACGGGCTCTAGATCAAGGGTTTCCTGAAAATTCCTTACTATTTAGTTATTTAATTTATCTGCCCAGACCAAAGAAGGTGGTTTTCTTGGGTGGCCACACCCGGAGACAATGACCTAGAGGTCTGATCTAAAAGGTGGTGTGTCAACACCAGGAGATGTAGTCTCATGGTAACCAGTGACCAATAATTGGTTCATATGTCACTTGTTCCCTTAGGATCCTGAAGCCCATGTGCATCATCGGTTGGGAATCAGGGTTTTCCAACTTACCTAGTTAGACTCTCCATGTCAAGCAACCCGGTTAGATCGCCGGACATTCACAGTAATGCAACGAGAAGGAAGTGAGTAGAACTTCCCTGATAATGGCTGTATACACGTGGCCATGTGAGAGTGTTTGGAGAGGAGTAGCAGACTCTCCCCACCCTTGGCTGTACCAGGGCATTCGAGGGCACGATGGCATTCAGGGATGCAGGGAACTATCACAATTTAAAATGATATCATGTTTTATAAACATATATATCAATAATAATGATTTAAACATAAATCTATTAACCTACAGGTACAGTTTCTGATCGTATTGTTGGAGCCATATTAACTACAGGACTTGAAGCTGTTCTCTCTAATAATGGATTACCACGTCCAGTTGTTTGATTTATTCGAGAAATCGGTGAATTAGAACCATCCAACATGTTTACACCTGAACGATCTGATGTTAAAAATTCAGATCTGAAAATTGTAACATGAATAGAATACTTTTTTAAAACGTGGTAATCAATTAGAACATTTTACATTAGGTAATGTTCGTTTGAATGATTTAGAGCTGTAATGGCCTTTTATAACTGTAATTGCATCTTGTTGAGTGCTTTTCAATAATATACCTCAGAATTTAAGGGAAAAAAGAACATTGACTATACTCTAATAGCCAAATAACGATTGTTTTATAGGTTGAAATGATGTTAACTAGCTGTGGAATCTAGAGCGTACATTTCATTCTATTTGGGACTCATCAGCTAGATGTACCTGCATCCTAGAATTGATGTTCACTTCGGAACTTATAATGTTTGTGAGTTAAGGCAATATCTAGACAATCCATACAAGATACACATTTACCAATTGCAGGCCTTAACAACAATCGAAAGATTCAAGAAACCAATACAAAACTGAATTAAACGTTTGTTTTGTTTATGTTTAAAGCATTTCACTAATGTACATCGTAGTTGTATATTGAAAGTCATTAGTAATTATCAAGTCCAACCTTGGCATTGATACAAATTTTCAATGTTTGTTGATTACCAATACTTTTCCAATGAATAGTTAGTTATTATTAGTTGGATTCATGAGTCAATTGAAGCTAGATCACAATGAAAAAAACATAGAAGCACTGAACGGTTATTTCGTCCTAGTATGGAACTCCTGAACACTGCGCATCCACGAACCCACCTCGGGAGATTTTGGAACCAGGACCTCTCAGCTTCGCATGCAAGCGCCTAACCACTAGACCACTAAGCCGGCCGGCATCCAACGGTGTTAATATCTTACTTAAACTAATATAAATATGTTGTTTTTGCTATTTCTGAAATTAATAATGAACCGGGTTCAGTGAAAATTAGATAATAAGATCAATAGTTGAAATCACGGGTCAACTGAAGCTAGACCACCATGGAAAACCTGGAAGCACTGGACGGCCGTTTCGTCGTAGTATGGGACTCAGCAGTGCGCATCCTCGATCCCGCCCCCCGCGCGATTCGAACCCAGGATCTATCAGTCTCACGCGCGAACGCTTAATCTCTGGACTACTCAGCCGGCCGGCATCCAACAGTGTTAATGTCTAAATTCAACCAATCCGTGAAGTTGCGCCACTGTACACCAGTGTCTTCAGTCAGCTGATATCTCACAACAGACCTGGTTGAACTCTACTGGTAACGGCTACTCACTTGAACTTCAGGAAATCCCGCTTGAAGTCAGTCGCTAGTAAACAGATGATTATTATCAGAAGGGGTTTTTCTGTAGATTTTAGAAATTTCATTAGTTAAAATCACGAGTCAATTGAAACTAGATCACCATGATTTCAACTATTGAAATTTCTAAAACTCCTAATGAAGTTTTGTTCTCTGAGCTGGATGGTTTCGTTGTGGAGCTTTCATCGTTCTTCTGAACGACATCATCAACAGCACAAGCTTCAGGTAGAAGTGAATTGTTCGAATTTCTCCATATGCGTTTCACAGCTTGTTCTGCATACCTCGACGTTGATTGGTCCTTATTGACCCTGAATTTAATTTTGGTAATCAACAACAAAATCAATCAATAATAGAACATGATCAATTAAGTAGAATAAAGAATAATGATAGCAGTAAAAATTAAATGTCAGTAAGAACCAATCACTGTCGAGGTGTACAGAACAAGCTATGAAACGCATATGAAGAGATTCGAACACTTCACTTCTATTTGAAGTTTGTGCTGTTGATGATTTCGTTCAGAAGAACAATGAAAGCTCCACGACGAAACCATCCAGCTCAAAGAATAAAACTCTATCTAAATCATCCACCTGAGCTACGAAATCTTCTCCATCATCTCATTTCTAGAAAATCTCCACAAAACCTCTTCTAATAATAAGAAAGATCATTAAATAGATTACTTAATTTTAGAATCAGTAATAGATCATTTACCTTTCTAGAATTTTCTTACGTAATTGTAAAACAACTTTACTTCTTGATGATAATTCATTATCTATAGTTGATTGTAAATTATTATTACTGTTATTATTATTATTATTCTGGATTCCATTGAATTGATCATGTTCTATAATTGATTGATTTGATTGTTGATTCCCATAATTAATTGTAGCCGCTTCCATAGCTAATAGATTTGCTGCTGATGTCACTGATGTTGGTATATTCATTGAATTAGTTAAATTATGTACATGATTTAAATTTTGTAATTGTATAGGTCGATAATTTGTTATATTCGAATTAGTAGCTAAACTTAATGGTGCTGATCTAGTTCGACTAATTAAACCAATTGATTGATATCGATAATATGGTAATAAATGATGATAGAATGATTTATTGATTTGTGTCATTGGATTAGATACATGATCATTCATTAGATCAGACATTGTTGTATCAGTTGGATTGAATTCATTACAATCAAAACTTGATTGAGTTACATGATGTGTAGTCGGTGTAGATGTATTTGTCGGTATTGTTGTATTCGTTGTTCTATTATTATTTATATTATTATTATTATTATTATGATTTGTTTGTAATGATGATGAGGATGATGATGAGGTACGATGATATTGTGCTGTTAAATTTGGTAAACTTGCACAAAATCCATTCATCATAGTTGAATTCAATATAGATTGATTAAGAATTGTAGTTCCAAATGATGAATGAGATGAATCCATTAATTGTGAATTAGTACAACATGTATTCATGGTTTCTAATATTTCCTGATTATTGATTAATTGATTTTGTTTCATGAACTCGGTTAAAATGACATCTTGTATAGTATTTGATCTAGGTGATATGGATTGTGTTAAAGATTTCCCATTGGATTTTGTGAATCGTTCATCAGAATCTATTGATGATACATGACTATTATTATTATTATTATTTAGATCTTGTAATTGTTGTAATGGTTTTTTATTCATTGTTTTTGTATTAAATTTGTATGTTGAAATGCTGAAGTTAATTGTGGCCATAATTCAATCATTGCTAATGGATCATTAGATACAGTCATTGCAGCTGCAGCTACAGCTGCTGCTGCTGCTGTATTCATTCCAATATGATGATTAAGATGATGATGATAATAATAATGACGACGATCTGGTTATAACGTGATTTTTGCACACCACCAGAACCACTACGCATTTTTAAACTTGGCTCTGATACTGTTTTACGTAGATTTTCATCAATTAATTTATTAGGTTGTTGACAATGTTGATCATGATCATGACTAGAATGATCATGTTGTTCAATATGTTTTTCACAATTACTTGTTTCCATGTCAGATGTATGTAAATTTTGAAAATCCATATAATGTATATCCGTTTCATGATTTGAAAAAGAATGTTGCATTTGATGATGTAATATATTAGATTTTTTCATATTGATTGGTAAAGATGTCATAGTGATTGTTTGATTATGGGATGAAAGATTTTCAACATCTATTGTTAATGGTGTAATACAACTACTATCATTAGTATTATTACTATTATTATTATTATTATTATTGTTACTATGAGTACTGTTTTGGTTACTAAGTGGTATAGATTTACCATTCAAATGATCATTGATTAAACAATTATTACTAACAGATTGTTCTTGATTCATTTGCATTAAATCTTTATCAAGGATATGATCACTTTGTTGTTGTTGCTGTGGTGGTGGGGGTGGTTGTGTTTGTTGTTGTTGTTGTTGTTGTTGACTAATACCCATATTCAACAATATTGTCTCATTTGAATGAATTCCTTGTTCTTTACTTTTACGTTTATTTAATACACAATTTTTTAAACGTTCACGAACAAGTAATGATGTAACATTTGTATTATTATTATTATTATTATTATTATTATTATTCATTGCTTGATTCCCTATATTCATATCAGTATACATTTTAGGACTTGTCATATTGAATTCCATGAGTTAATGACTTAATTCATTGTCCCATAGTAACAACACAATGCAAGTGAACACTGATAAAATATTCATCGAAATTTAATTGTATTCAATATTTTATTTCATTCAAATAATTGTTCATTGGATTCTGTTGTCTCCCTCTTTCTTGTGTGTGCGTGTATGTATGTATGTATGTATGTGTGTATGTGTGTATGTAGGCGTGACAACTAAACTTATATTATGTAATCAAATGAAGATAGAAATTGTATCAATCAGTTGTTGCTAAGTGATATGAAACTATTAATAGTAATCACTGTGTTATTATCTTTCTATTTATATGCATATATATATTATTGAATATGAAACATTCTTATTCGAATACATTTATGATTATGGCTTTAAACTAATCAGTGAATTATGTCATTAGTTAGGTATTTGGATAGTTATGTATATACAAATAACATTTCTATATATATGTATACAACACATAGACATTGCGTGGGTTGATATATTATCCCTTCCTATATTGTGTTACATTTTAATAACAGAGATCTATTCAATAGACAATTTCTTTATCATATTTCTATATAATCCCATCTTATGAATTGATGATTATATAATAATTTCTAATCAACGGTAAAGATTTGTCGTCAATCCTACTGTTGTAATCATATGGTTAGTTGTATTATATAGTAAAAAGAAAGTACATAGACAGCTTTAGAGACAGACAGAGAGAGAGAGAGAGGGAGCGAGCAAGATTGAAACACATAGAAACAGGGAAAAAGAATGTGGGCAAACTGGTAATACAAGACATAACTACTAATAACAGGCTAATATGTTAGTAATCATAATTAAGAGAACTAGAATATGGGATAAAGAGTGAGGGAGAGAGTGAAGACAGTACGATTGGTGGTTGCATTCAAAATATCACATGGTCTATTCGTATACTGGGCGTTAAAGAACTGTTATTTGAAAGAAACCACTATTCATAAATTCTTTCTGTCTTATATCATCGTACCGTAAGGACTTCCAGAAATGTTAGTTGTATTCTTTTCCAGTGAAGTTGTTCCAAATGCAAAATAAAACACTGTTCTATTCATTTTTCGTGCTCCCACCTTTCCATATATATATATATATATCAATAATAGTAATGATAATAATAAGCTGGATAACACTGACACCATTATCTTGAACAATCAAATCTATCGCCAATAGGAAATTTTCAATGTTTTCGAATAAAGGTACTGATATTGATAATTTTAAATTCACTTGGTGTTTAAACTTCACCTCAATTGCACAAGCAGATGGCTAACAGTAGCTAAGTGGATAATGTAATGGTATTTGAAGCGAACGGTAATGAGTTCTAGTCCTGGAGTGAAGATCAACTCTGAGATGTAGGTACATTCAACTGACGAGTCCCAAATAGGACGCAGTTTCAGAACGTATTGTTTCAAACTACGCGTCTCACTCTAAATGGGTAATCTCGTTAGTGTAGCTTTGTGCTGAAATATATTACTGATTTATTAAGACGATATTGATCATGAGCAGCCTTATACATCATAAGCATATCCCTACTAATCTTTTTTACTCTTTAGATAGAAAATTTAAACGTCTCCAAGTGAGGCGAACAGAGGCTATATCTTAGTCCTAGTATCACCTAAGTGTCGTTTCCTGGTGCGTCTCACGTGGGTTGTATTCTTCATGGTATCAGAGAAAAAAAGCGCAAGTGTTTTCTGCAGATTGGACCCTAATTAAACACTCAAAACAGTCTAAGTCCAGAGTTGGGCTATGTAAGGCTTTGGAAAGAAATAACAATCGGTCATACTGAAGATTACTGATTCCAAATTTAATGGTGTCCAAGTTTAACACCACCTAATGTCAATGTATGTTTGCATGTTTCTTTAGGTTTCGATCACTGTCTTGTGAGTGGACAAAACAGAGTCTTACCTTAGGATAGAATTATTACTCTTACATGGGAAGGACATCATGATTCTGTAGTGACTTACATTTATCACGAGAACACGACTGGTTTAATGAAAACAATTATTATTAAAACCAATTGTACGAGTGGCTGTTTTAATGTGCTCTTTGTTTAACTGTGCTAAAAACATCCATTATACTTACTTCGATTCTGACCTCGCGCGAATCCGGTTACGCTCAGTAACCAAGCTTGTATCGTTGCACGATCTCGGTATTCTTTCGATACCACGAGATCGCCAGCAAATATAATTCGACTACAGCCATCAACTGCCTTCTCATATTTGGCTTCCGGGGGATTTTACAGATGTCCTGGCACGCGTTCCTTTGTAGTAGTGTTCATAGTCTGCCGCGACTCGACACCACTCTACAATTCCATGAAAAATAATTGGTTTTGTAGTTCCTAACATTTTTAGCGATTAACACTACTGTGGCTTGATTGTCTCCCGTATCACGGAGATGAATGAACTTGACAGATCATTTCCTTGTGCTGTTCAAGTGTATCGTATAAATTATACTTCTTTACTTACTAAATATGAATTATCGACATACTTTTCACTGAAATAACTTTTCTGACTATATGAATAGATATGAATCACTAACCATATATTTAAGCCTTATTGGTTACCATTTTACAAATTGAATTCTTCTTGGATTTACGGAAGACCGAGTTTTGACCTACAGTTTCAGTTTGGAACAGTCAGGAGGCTAGGCGGTAGTACACCGATCGATTCAACTTTATTTCGAAAGAGTCGACAGAGCATCAACCACGTGTTGAGGTAATGAATTCCATTCGTTGATGATTCAATGGGAAAGCTGATAGTCAGCTGATGAGCAACTTGTCTTGATCTTGTGAAGTTTTGGAATGTCCTCGTACATTTTATGTTTTGAAAGACAAAAGAAATGAGGACATATCAGATGCAATAAGACAATACGTATATATATATATATATATATATATATATATATATATATATATATATATATATAATAGTTTAGGACTAGATCTAATGTTATAGCGAAATAGATCATAATTCTATAGATTAACACACATGCTCATATATAAACAGTCAAGGTTAATAGGCGAATAACTGACAGGGTCAAAATATGACTCAAGAAGAATGAACAAATTGGTCTGCTCGTTAGCTAGAATAACCCTTGTAAACGTGAAATAGTACCAGCCACCACATGGCACATGCAACAGGAACGCTGAGGATTTTCTGAGCAACATCATCATTTTATTGACAGGTCTACGGAAAACTTTTCCTGCATACCTAAAAAAGGGCAGCACTAAAACGGACAAACATACAAAGACGAGCGGTAAAGTAAAGAAGAGGCTTTTTGTCAATATTAGTGGACCACGCATCGACACTAGTAAGGATTTGCTGAAGCTCAGCACCGTCATAACATGAGCGGCATAAGACTCTCAGTAAACTTGGGTTTCCCAGCCCTGGCTCGTTAAACGCAACTATGGTCCCGGAAAATTCTATAGGCTACTAGATATATGTCAAGAAAGTTAAAAGTAATCTAGTATCACCTTCAAAAAGCTCAACAGCCAAGGTCCTGCAGTGAAATCAGTTGGTGATTTGGCCATGCAATCTTCCCCAAAGATTGTCTGACCAGTTTCAGTTTAGAAAGGACAGGAGACTTGATGGCCTGTGTTAGTCCCGGCATAATTGTCTCTCAGTTAATCCAACTCTCTTTTGAAAGAGTCGACGGATGGAGCCTCAACTACGTGCTGAGGTAATGAATTCCACTCGTTGATGATTCGATGGGAAAGTCGATAGTCAGCTGACGAGTAATTTGTTCTGGGCTTGTGAACATTTTGAAGTGCCCTCGTAAATTCTCTGTTTTGGAAGACAAGAAAAATGAGGGCATGTTAGGTGCAAATTTATCACTAAGCAATTTGTAGACTGTAATCAAGTCGCCTCTAGTTCTGCGATATGACAACGGGAATAGGTTCAGCTTGGCCAGTTGAGAATCACACGGAAGCTTCTCTATCCCGAGATTTAGCTTAGTTGCTGTTCCCTGGACCTTTTCCAGAACCTCACTGTTTTTTTTAAGCAGGGGCTAGCCGCTTGTATGCAGTACTCAAGTTTAGGACGTACTAACGCTGTATACAAAGTCAGAAACGTTTTAGCGCCGACATGACTAAAAGCCCTACGTATTGACCATAAGGTTCTAAAACCTTTGGCGGCTATTGCACGGCAGTGCGCAGTAGTCTTTAAGTCTTGACTAACGATAACTCCTAAGTCGTTATATGTCTGGACGACAGGCAGCTCAGAGTTATTCATCGTGTATGTATCTGTGCCTTGATGACCGATATGCATCACAACACACTTGGAAGTATTTATCGGCAACTGCCATGTTTGAGACCATTCAGATAATTTCTTCAGGTCATTTTGGAGTTCCTAGCTATCACCCTCACTTCGTATCGCTCTCCATATCTTGACATCGTCAGCATATAGCAAGATTGATGGTGATAGGAGACGAGGAAGGTCATTTACATGCAAGAGGAATAGCACTGGCCCCAAAACTGTACCCTGGGGCACTCCACTAAGCACAGTTTCCCAGCTGGATAACTTTGAGTCCACCCATGCTCTTTGTTAACGCCCAACTAGGAAGTTTTATCCACATCAATAGATTGCCTCCGATTCCGATATTTTTTAGCTTATATACCAGCCGGTTGTGTGGAACTTTGCTGAAATCAATGAAGGCTACGTCTACAGGTAACGTTTGGTACTTAATAGCGCACCAGCTTTCACGAGCTACTAATAAGTTGGTGAGACAAGAATAACCTGTTCTGAAACCGTGCTGCTTCTCCGAAAGGATCCGGTTCTCATCGAGATACTTAAATAGCTCCTTCCGAATAATCTTTTTGTTAGGATAGTCGGAAAAATATACCAATAATTATCGTGTTAAGTCTATGGTGGCCTTGGACCTTAAGTGTACATATCCCATTGGTCGCTGTTTATTTCACATGTTAAATATTGTGTAAATGTTGTTTTCTATTTTATGGTACGATGTGGTTTGTTTGTCTGGTATAT